CATTCCTGCCCTGTGTCTCTGCCTGTCGCACCGCCTCTCCCTCCTTTTCCTTGTCCGGAGCTCCTTCCCTGAGAACACATCGGGTGGTGAGAGCCTTCGGAGGAGAAGATAATGAAGAATGGGGTGAGGCGATTAGCTTAACGGGAAGATGATATCAGCCCGTGGCTCAGAGCAGCACCTCGAGCGCCCGTGGGCTCACCCAGCCCCGCTGACGGGTCTTGCAGCTTCAGTGGCCTGCAGCTAACGCGGGGGGCCAGGACAGAGGCGGTTCTTCTGCCCTGCAGCAGCTTTCCAAGTCACTGACTTCTTCCCTTATCTCAAATCAGGTTAATAAATGAGCCTCCAAGACTGCTGATTTAAAAAAAATAATAATTATTCGGGAGTTGAGCCCCTCAAAAGGTTTCATGTTATACTTTGAAACGGGATTTTGAATATCGGCTTTCCTAGAGAAAGCATCAAGCAGAACATGATGACACTTTAATGACAAAAAAATTCCCCCTTAAGAAAAAAAAAGCAATCCTAACATTGACTTAAGACTGTGGACAAAACTGACCCTCTTAAGCAAATGGATTCCTTTTTGAAAAGCAGGATTTTCTGAGAAAACAATGTTAAGCTGGAAAGCTCCCAACCAGCTCCACTGGTCAAGCTGCTAAAATTTACAGAAGTACCAGGAAACAGTTTTTTTTGACGGAAGCGGTTCTTAAAAATCAGAAACGTTCCCAGTTATCTGGGTGACACAGTTGTCTTGTTTTTTTGCAGACATAGACCATGTTGCTCACTCACCTAAGACAGAGTGGATTGAGAGACCAGAGCCCATGGCTGTTTCTTTACTGATGGAAGGTGAAGGTGTTGAATTTTGGCAAAAGCTTAGCAAAAATACTAAAAGTAATGCTGACAACGAAGCATATAAAACTAGTGCATGCCACAATGAATTGCGCTTAGAGCAGATTTTTGCTTTCTATGTTTTTACTGCCAGACAATTGCTAAAACAGCTTATGATTACCAAGAAAAGAAAGCAGGAAACCAAAATCTGGATGTAAACAAATACAGATCTTTTTAGAAAGTAAAGATATAAATGCAAAAATAATATTGGAGTCCAAAAGTCTGCATATATCTTACTCAGCTGTGAAATTCCAGATGTTTATAAGAGTTTAAAATTTTGGCATGTTGATTGGAAGTTTCTGACCCACACTCCTTTCTTTTAACCTTAGTTGTTGGTATCAAGCATGCATTGGCATGGTGTGTGTAGAAAACATGTGACTGCTGGATCTGGTTCCCAAACAATAAAAATATGCTTAGAGCTATGGTGAGCCTTATTTATTTTGCAATAGGTTATAAAATATCTTTCGAAATTACTGATATAAGGTTTTAAGCAGATATGCACTGAATTTCCTAGGAACTGTTCAGGTAGGGTTATAAAGTTTTATATAATAACCAGTCTTGATATAAATTGTCCTGAACTGTCACAAGACGATAGAGAGGACTCTGATTTATTTATGTTTTCAGCTTAGCAACAGCTGGACATCTGATACTGGTCTTTATTTCAGTCAGTCCTGGGATAATAGGAAGCTTGACATTTCAGTATATTTCACAAGCAATGAGTGCTGGCACATCTTCATCTGGAGAAAAAGCAGTAGTTTTGTATAGAAGGAACTAGGATTTATTTTCTAATAAAGACTTTTAAAGCCATTTCCTAAGAGAAGTGAATCATAAAACTTTGAAAACGGAGCCTTCTTTTGTGGAAATCAAACCAAATGTGGTCATTCTAAGGCTTCGAATATCTTGTTAAAAATACACATTTTGCAATTTAAATATTTCTCATTAAAAATAACAGGAAAATGCTAATGTAGACTTCATGCTATACTATAGCCTTCCTTTCTGTAGATTCATGATGGGAACTGAAATTTCTCACACAATTGGCAAGAAAGTATCATACCCTTTTGTTAAAAATATAAACAAGAAAGCCTCAGACATTTGTTCTGAAATATAAATTATCTACAAAGTAAAAAAATCCACATATTTTGAGGCTTGTCTTTAAAAACTACAGAATAACTGCAAATGCATTAATGCCACTGAGACCCTGAAAAACAACTGGAAAGCAGGTTTGCAACTCCCGCTTGTATCCATGTGTGACAAAAGAAATTCCAGCAAAGAACTAAAATCATTCCAGAGCAAGCGTTTTTCTTTCATTCTCTATCATTTATTTGAAATGGTGTTTTGTCTCTTGTCCTATATTGATTTGTTAGTGTTTTTAGGGCAAAACAATATTTCTGTTGCACATGTGTACAGCATCCAGTGTAAACTACTACCTAGTCTCCAAGCCTGGAAGCAGTATGCATAAATGAATATAAGAAAAAGGCACACTCCCTTTTACAGTCAGCACTGAAATTTTAAACCCAGGCCTTTTAGTCTTACAGAATACTGCCATATTGTCCTCAAGGTTTACTTCTTGCTTCAGAACTTTCAAGTTGTATATCAAAGATTAATCCATTAAAATGTAAAATGCAAATTAAAAAAAAAAGATCCTACTTTAATCCCTAGCATAGACAATCAAGAATCATAGCAGTAAGATTTAAATTTCAAGATCTTAGAAATGAAAAGAATCTTGCGTAAAGAGGCAGAATACAACTCATCAAAGCATTTTTTTTTCTTGGTCTTCACTATTGTGGACTAAGCGTCTGTATGTATGTATCTGTGTATGTGGAAAGGGGAATGGACAGGAGATTGTTTAAAAACTTCAGCTCATAAAGATCTGGAACCATCACCCTGTTCACACAGGTCAGTGAACTGGTTATCTTCAGCCCACAGTTCAGGGGAGAGACAAAAACAGTTTTTAACTTTGTAAATGAAATTGTGAGAAAGAGAAGTTATAGGCTTCTATAGTATAGTAGTAAATTATGCTCAGGCATTCTTAATAAGATCTCAACCACTGAAGCAAAACAACTCAGCTGGAATGTAAAACAAAAACAAAGAGGAATGCAGCGCCAGTGTAATTTGAATTTAAAAACAGCGTCAGGAAACTTTAAATGAAAATTAAAACTGCCCCAGCCAGTCCAATGAGCAGTTCCCAAAAAGTTTTAAGACATGCCAATCCTGGATTCAGACCCTCCCCCATTTTTTGCGAAATCCAAATACAATCCAAAAGAAATCCAGAAAAAAACTTCAGACTTGACTTCAGGGAAAGTCAAATGCCCCTCCAAGCTGGTAGCAAGTTATTCAGAAAGCAGCACAGGTCTCCAATTCTATTTTTAGCACAAATAGCCATATTGACACTTCTACATCTCCTTTCCACGTCCTATGGTGACTGATCAGCAGAAGACCTCAGGCCTGCCTTAAATTCTCCAAGCTAGACCTTCTAGTTTTCAGCTGGTCTGAACACACCCATTCTTCGAACACAGAGTCCTCTTGCCTTCCTTCTTCTGTTCTTGGCTGTAGCTTTCTACATAATTAGGTTTCACTTGTATGTATTGCTCTATTTAAAAAAAATACATAAGAATAATACAAACGTTTCCTGTAAGAATCATGTTTTCCACATCAGACTGAACTAGTTACAACCAAAAAAAGTCTTTGT